TCCATCTTGGTGGGGTCTGCCTGTTGATGGACATCTAGACCTTTGTCTTTCGCCTCCCAGGCAAACACTAACCAGCACCAAACACAGGAAAACAAGAAGAAGATCGAAATTGATAGTGTGAGAGACTCAAGAAACCGTTGAGCAGCAATACCAGCCCAAAACACGAGCAAGAATAGCAGATGCACAAAAAACGGGCGAAGGAGAGGGGAGGGCAGATAGATAGATAAACAGACAGACAGACAGACAGAGAGAAAGAGATAGATAGATAGAGAGAGAGAGGGAGGGGGGGGGGGGGGGAGCGAACATTGATGCAGGTCACTACTCACATTGTTGATGTGCCATTGTGTCGACTTCTCCCGTGTGGCGCACAAAGTTCTCGCCCCGATACAGAGTGCTGAGTAGGCAAACACACAGACACACAGACACATTTGCGCACATGCACACATGCAAAGCAAACACGTATAATTCAGCTTCTAGAAATACCCTGTTCACAGCAATGTCCCCAGCTCAAGACGAATTGTACCATAACTCAAACATTCTTGAGTGAGTAACACAAAGGGCCGTACACTAACGAGAAAGTAGGGTCTGTGGGCCGGCGCAGGCTTGCAACTCTGTTTGTTATCCGCATGCGAAAAAATGAAGATAGGTTTGAATACGTTTCTGGATTCCAAACATGCCGTGCTGGTAGCAAGGGGCATGCATGTTCATTCATCTCCGGTCATATTCTTGGGCAAAGCAGTTGACCTGGAAAAGTTCAACATGAGTCGGTCCCGGCTCTGCTCCCCAAATGATCATTTCATTCGGTTGCGAATGAGATACAACAAGCACAATCTGGAAGGACACAGATCCTTATATTTTTCGTTTCCTTTGTCTTGTTTGGGGGTTTTCCCTTCGGAGTTGGGTGTGTTATTATTTTAGTACAAACTATAAACAAAATCAAAAACAAAACAAAAACGAGGCACATTGGACTCACTCGTCACGAGCGCTGTTCCTGAACGGGTTGTCACGCATGGAACGTGTCTTGGGGTCGTAATGAGCAGAGTTTGGATCCAAATTGTACAAGTACTGCATAAAGACACGCACACAGAAGAAGAAGAAAATATTGTTGATTTTATTTTATTTTTTACTTCACCAGATACACAGGTATATGATGAAGAAAGGAAAAGGACAAAAAGTTACGAGTTATGACAAACTGTCCACCAACGTAACCAGATCTTATACAGTCAGCGAGTGTGACAAAATGGCACAAAACTGACAATTCCTTTCTTCATCATAACTATATTGGCTCACCATCCGAGTTCAACACAGGTATATCTGCCTTCTCGTCTAAGCATACTGCCAGACTTTCAATAGAATAATATGACGACATCTGAAGCGGGCACAGGAAAACTGAACCCCAGCTGGCCATCAGCATGACATCACCACATGCGACGATTAACGAAGTGATGAGATTCATTTATACGTGAGAACGACGACACACCCGAAACTCCCAGGCACACTAAAATATTTGTGCCTATTCCGTTAACTTGGTGCGTGTACAATCAACGTGGCAGCCCGACTGAGCATGTGCTGCGCGCCATGTGCACAATCGCATCGATCCAAACTTGGATTTTTCAATTGCAACCCCTCCACCCTTGCTATAGATAGGCCAGCTACTAAGGGGTCTCTGCAAAACAAAATCAGGTATCTGAGATGTACGAGACCGGCCCTGCTCTCGTTTTCAGTATGAACTGTCAGGATACTAGTATATGTAGCTGGACATCGACCTACCGACACCACAGGGTAAACCAATGCACGCATTCCAACACACACACACACACACACACACACACACACACACACACACACACACACACACACACACACACACAAACACAGAACCGGACACACACACACACACACACACTTACCTTGGCGGTATCTTCACGAATACGCAAGTTACGGATGGTTGTGCGACTGTATTACAGCACGGCAGAAAAACACAAGCACACACACACACACACACACACACACACACACGCACACAGGCACGGGTGAGCATAATTACGTTGCATGCACAGACAAAGACACCCACACCCACAAGCGAAATAAGACGTGCAACAGAAAGTAGGATGCACTCGCTCGAACCCGAAATAGCAGATTAATTAATAAACAGTGAGTGACTGGATGACCCAGCTGATTGCCAAGTTTGGGACTACATGTACATACAGTCAAACCTGTCAATGCCACCACCTGGATAAGGCAACCACCTGTCCCAGAAGACCACTGCTACCAGGTTCAAGTGATGCTATGTGCAGTCAAACGACCCTGCATAAGGAGACCACCTGGCAACAGAGACCACATTTCGAAGGTCCCTTGGGCGGTCGCCTTAGACCGGTTTCATTGTACAGTAAAACCTGTATAAGGCGACCACTCGGATAAGCTGACCACCTGTCCTAGAAGACCACTGCAACCAGGACTACGGGATGCTATTTCCAGTCAAATGACCCTGGATAAGGAGACCACCTGGTAACAGAGACCACATTTGGAAGGTCCCGTGAGCGGTTGTCTTAGACAGGTTTCACTGTATTTCGTAGTCAAGGAATCGTGCCAGACCGACCCCAAGCGTAGAGCTGCACATTCCGAGCCCGGGGTTATGGAATATTGGCTCTGTAGCTTGTTCCATCAACATACCATTGCTATGATAGTCTGATCATGTTCATGACTAACGTTACATGTGTCATATACTGCGTGGCAGAGAGTCACCATCACACCATAATGATGATTGCCCAGCCACATTCATGATCGAAATCTTAACTCTGTGGCCGAGAGTCACTACCAGACCACAAGTATGATAGTCCAGTCATGTTCATAACTACATCTAAACTCTGCAGCAGAGAGTCACCATCACAGCATAGACATTACACGGCTCAACTCACTGCTTGCTGTCGAACTTCGTTCCCGGCATGTCCACACGGTCTGCATACTTATCTTCGTCATCCTCCTCAGAATCGTCCTTGTTCAGCTGAAAGAAGACGATGCACACGTGGCCAGGAAAACTGCATCATTACCGTATTTTCCGCAGCATAAGCCGCACTTTAAGGCGTATACTCCCATGATCAAATTTACAGTAATAAATAGGGTAGATGTCTGTATTTTGTGACAAAAAATCTGGGTGCGGCTTAAGGCGCGTTTGGTTGGTACGAACTAGAACAGGATTCACCAGAACAGCGCGTTTGGTTGGGACTGCACCTGTTCTGGGTCGGCCAGAACATGTTCTGCTTGCTCCGGCCTGGAGGCCGGAGCAGACCGAGCAGTTTCACTTTTTCACAGTGAAACCGGGCGGGAACATCGATTTTGGTCCCAAATGATCACGTGCATACGCTTTTGGGTTGGACTCCTCGTACCGTACACAGTGACCATAATGACCCATACACATTTTGAAGAATGCACCAAGTTTGGTGAAAAATATGCTCTTATCTGTTTCTGGAGTACCGTTTGGTTGGCATGAGGCTGCTCCATGTGCACCAGCTGTTCGATCCTGTTCTAGATCGTACCAACCAAACGCACCACTATACTCCGTCAAATAAGGTAACGGATAGCGGCACTCGGCGGGGCATCAGAAAAGTGTCCTTATTCGCGAAGTGTCCTTATACCCGAAGTCTCATATTACGTATTACAGCTAGATGGGACTTTGCTTTGAGCATGGAAATGCTGTCGTTGTTCGCGAACTGTCGTTATATCCGCAGTCGTTATTAGCGAAGTTGACTGTACATGTATCGGTACATACATATATCTAAAGGTAGCACATTCATGATCTCTGGAATCACCTGGCTAACCTCTATAACGAGGTACAGTAAAACCTGCCAATGCAACCACCTGGATAATGCAACCACCTGGATAAGGCGACCACCTGTCCTAGAAGACCACTGAAACCAGGACTAAGGGATGCTATTTCCAATCAAACGACCCTGGATAAGGAGAGCACCTGGTAACAGAGACCAGGTTTTGAAGGTCCCTGGAGCGGTCGTCTTAGACAGGTTTCACTGCACTAGTATGCCAATGAGAGCTTCTTCAACTACATGTACGATATGCTTTCTTTGGCATGGAAACGGTTTGCATAGCGACTCCAAAGCAAAGCATGTTGCACACAAGCATCACATAACTGAACTCAAGCAGAGCATGACTAATAGGACAATGCTATCAGCCAAGATTGCTTCTTCTCGTGTCAGGGTACAATACCTTGTTGTCGTCTTCGTCCGAGCTCGAAGAGGATTCGTCGTCGTCAACGTTGCCGTTGTCATCCGTCTTGTCCTTCTTCGACTTGGCATTCTCAATGGCTTTCTTCGACTCTTCTTGAAGACTCTCGGCTTTCAGTCGTCGCTTGGCCTGTAAACAAACACACAGGTATAACAGTGCCATGTGTCAAGTCCTGTAAACTGACTAATGTTTGCATTTTTCGCAAATATTATTTTTGAAGGACCCTACATTATGCTATACCAGTCATTTAACGAACTTAGAATTAGGGAGTGGTGCTTTCTTGCAGGTTTGCCGACTGGAAGGTGCGACGTGCTCCTCGTGTGCCCCGGATGGCAGTCGTGAGTCAGTCAAGTGTCAAGTCTGGAGTTACGTGATATTGAAGTTCCAACCGTATTACTATCTCGAAGTCACGCCCCTGGCTAACCTTAGATTCACACAGGTACATGTGGCTGCGCAGATGTGCATGCATACGAATGTGCACACCTGACATCGGCGGCACAGGATAGATGCATAGCCGTGCATGTTTTGAATTTGAAGACCCCTCTGCAGCTGTATTTATGGTGGAACCTGCCGCCTGGCGTGCGTGTGTGGGAAGGGGTGTGCATTTACTGCCATTTCGCCAGTTTGTTGTTTGTTGTTGTTGAGCCTGCTTGCACGCAGTACATTTTAAGAGAAGGAAGCATTGGCGGACAAACTGACCATTTCGATCTGATGATGGTGCTCTATGACTTTCTGATAGTCGTCCGCATCATAGCCGTTCCATCTGCATCGACACACGCGCGCGCACACGCACACACACACGCACACACACGCACGCACGCAAACACACACACAGAAAACACACAAAGAGTTGATACGTGATTGTCACGTTGATTTTGGCTATGCAAGATGATGTTGACAGCGCTCACTTCATCAGAATCCCACTGCTCCCAAAGAAACATGCCTGCATCAAAGACGGAGCACTTTACAAGGTAAAAAGGGTCAGAGTGAAAGAAAGGGTGTAATGCCAAAATTTTCTTCTAGCTGTTGCACCCCTCCCCTAGGAGCACCATCATGGCACAACCCGGAGAATGCGCAAGCTCAAGAATGTGTATTTCCCCGAATACAAGTCGCACCTTCTTACACTTGCCTTCAAGGGCAAGGAAAGGGCTGTGTGACTTACAATCGACAGTGACATCCTACCTACGCGACTATACTGAAATAATATGGCTCAAACCTGAAACTGGGGTGCGACTTAAAATCGGGAGTGACTCATAATCGGGGAAATGGGTTATGTGCATGTGTACGGCTGCATACATACATGCCCTTGCCAACACACACGTGCGCGTGAGTGTGTGTCCACGTGTATGCGTGCGTGAAGCCTTACCGATCTCGCTTCCCATCAAAGTCGTGCGCCAACTGGTCTGGTAGGTGCTCGTCGGGGCACAGGTTCTCACCGGAAAACTTTGCCCCAACTTTACGCGGCCGCTGCAAACACGAGAACAGACAAAATAAATAAAAAATCACGGTTCGCGTGAAGACTCGGCTGGAGGTCAAGTTCTCCGCATCCGTGGGAACGACACCACCCCCAAGGATCAAGAACAGATAAACAGGATATAAATGATATTTTCCGCATCTGTAGAGGAGACGGTACCGTGATCGAACAGAGTCCGCAAACAGGACCAGGCTCAAAATCAATCTCTGCAGTGGTACTCTGATTGTAGAAACTTCCCAACGGTGAAGACTACGATAAGGTGTTTCACGTCATGGCCTTGCGATTAGCACCAAAGCCATGCCGGGCAGTTGTGCTTCAGGGTGCTGCTGCACTAAATTATCAACTTTGATACAACCAATTTCGAGCGGACACAGCATCATCAGAACTCTATCTATCCACATCCCGACAACGTGGCAAACGTTGCAAACACCAGTGTCAACAGACCTTACCAAAGAAATACACATGACGATGGAGATCACTGGCATGCCCAGGGTATTTTCTCCCCAGGGGTGTCACACAGGTGCGCCTTCAGCTCGCCGGGACTCGTCTGGTTCGGATTGCTCCAATAACTTCGCAGACTCTAAGCCATATACAGTAAAACCTGTGACTAACGACCACCCCTTGGGGCCAGAGAAAGCGGCCTTTAGTGGCAGGTGGTCCTTAGTTAGAGGTTTGCACCGCACAACAATATGAATGTGAGAGTGTCCGTGCCTGGCAAAGTGGTCTGTAGTACCAGGCTGGCCGCTAGTCACGGTGGTCTTTAGTTACAGGTCTGACTGCAGTATGCTGTATTGGACTGTACGCCATGTTGCTGCCAAGTTGAACCAGGCTCTGGCCAAGTGCGTACGCGCACGACTTGAATTTGAGCGCCGTATTACGAACAGCTCCTCCTATGCAGGGGCAGAGATCTGTTCTGTCCGTGCACAGGCCGCGCCCTGGGAACTTGAGTGCACTCTAGATACTCCAGGTTGCGCAAACTCAGGACGACAAGGTTCAAAATGACACCACGTTCGCAGGGCATAGGCGACAGGCAACGAGCGGCAAGGGAACCGCCGACAACGACAATCCGTAAAGCACACAGACCTAGCCCTTACCTCTAAGCAGTCTTTCTTCTTGTGTGTCATGGAGCCGCAGTTTTCACATGCACCGGAGCGGAATTTCGTAACCGTTTGACCCTTTGCACGACACGACAGCAGAGAAAGAGAGAGGAAGGAGTTCAAGTGTTATATACAATATTCGCAGCCATCCGCACCCCAACAGCCCCATCGTAATCACGAATGTCACCAACTCCATGATCAATACCAGGCATGTAAAAAAAAACGACGGGTTCGCATACCGGGTAGGTCAAGAACAAGGAGTCGTACAACTCCCTGGTCAAGAACCACCTTTCCGCTTCCGTGGGACGCCACCACCCAATGATCAGGCATCAGATGCGGCTCCTAAACGGTAGGGGACCAGGCATGTAGCAAATAAAAATATAAATAAAGGCTGATTCTAACTATGAATCCTAGTAGAGCACTGGATATTGAGGGGATGAGAAAACCACTACAGCCTCTTACCGATTTTAATCCTTTCAGATACCAGGATGAATCAAACTTCTGTAGTTTCTCCGGCTGCTGGCGCTGATGTCTCAGTGAGGGACGGTTCAGCGACACGTACCATGGTGCTTCAGAAATGTACTGAGGAATATGGGGGTTGATGTCCCTGTGAGGACAAACAGAGAGAGAGAGAGAGAGAGAGAGAGAGAGAGAGAGAGAGAGAGAGAGAGAGAGAGAGAGAGAGAGAGAGAGAGAGTGAGAGAGAGAGAGAGAGAGAGAGAGAGAGAGAGAGAGAGAGAGAGAGAGAGAGAGAGAGAGAGAGAGAGAGAGAGAGAGAGAGAGAGAGAGAGAGAGAGAGAGAGAGACAGGAAGAGAGACCAAACCAGCAGACAAATTACGATGCATCCATAGTTCCATAGTTTCGGTCATAAGGCAGTGGGCTACAAAAGCGAAGCAGCGACAAGCTTGAGCCAGTCCAGAGACTGGAAACTGCCACAGATTCCTAATGCCGGTCACATGCAAGAGGGCCAAGAATGTTTGACCCGACACAGTGCACGGGCCAGCTCCAATAACGCCCGGGCCCGCATTAGCGCCCGGGCCCAAAATAGATGCCCATGTTTTGGACTTTCACTAACGTTTCCACCCAGGGCCTTATTACGGGCTTTGACGGTATCATATTTTCCGGAGTATAAACCGCACTTTAAACACTCATAATTCCCCCTGAGACGTCAATGCGGCGTATACTACAATGGTCAAATGATTGGTGATATAGTGGCTGGATGTTTGTATTCTGGGCGTAGCTTATACTCCAGTGTGGCTTATTATACAATGTCATGTAGTCTGGAAATATGGTCTATGAATTCCCCCTGAAAAGTCAATGCGGCTTATACTCCGATGGTCAAATGAATGGTGATATACATCGTATAGTGTAGATATCTGTATTTCGTGACGAATAAAACTGGGGTGCGGCTTATACACCGGAAAATAAGTACTTATGCTAGGTGCCGCAAATATTCTCATTTCCTTCTGCTCTCTAGATTCTCGTGATTTAATTGTTGCAAATAAGTCGTGAATTCTTGCCGAATTCTGCCGGCATGGATCTTCATCGGTCAGGAGACGCCGGTGGATCAAGACAATTGGTTAATAGTCGGTGACAGGCCTTGATCCAAAGGGATATTTTCCTGCTGATAAGGAGAAACACGATCACCCTCCCAGCTTTCCCAGCCATGAGATGCAAACGGCGGAAACCACGCCAATCTTACTTTGGTCTGGTTCTAGGCAAAATTGTGAAATTCGACTTTTTACACCAGTAAATTTATCACAATGCAGGTGCGAAGCAGTCGCATCCACAAACATAAAAATCTACAAGGCTGGTGTCTCAAATTGTACAGTGCACATATAACTTCGACGCACCTTCCATCTTCGTCAGTTTCTGCCGGAGCTGTACCAGCCTTTCGAGCCTCCTCAAGCTCTTTGCGTTTCTTCCAATCCTCTCTAGCTGAGCCACCGGTAGCCATTTCGGCCCCGCGCGAGGGCCGCTTGTAATGGACTGACCAACTCCAGGAGATAAATCACATTGCTTCAAACACAGCCAGTCCCAGCAAAAGCTATGGGGCTATTCTCCACCTCGAACAACCAAAATTGTTGTCGACAAAATCACAGCATTGATCCTGTAGTCTTCACTTGAACTGCATAAAAATTCGATTTCACGTGAAAATGGGAAAATGGAAAAAAACGATCGACGTACGAATCGGTACGTCATAAGTACGTCATCGAATCAGTACGAATCGGCACGTCATCAGACTCATCACTCAGCAGCAGATCAGTGCAGCTGCGCAGTCTCATCGTTACTTTTTTTTCTTTCTTTTTTTTTAGTACTAAAAAAAATAGTAGTGTCAGTGTCAAAATTTCACCAAAATGACTCAACACAACCTTTGAAAAACAAACCCTTCCGTTCACAATTCGCTTCGATCATGTTTTTCACACATGCATGATCATGCCGACACGTACATTTTTGGCGACTCAGTGGGTAAACCCACTGGGTAAATCCGCTGGGTAAACCCGCTGATACTAACCATGAACCAGTTGCCATGGGTTTGCTCGAGGTCAGATGATGCTGAGCTGACGTGTTGTTCCTGATTTTTCTCCTGTTTCATCCGAAAATTGCTCACCACAAAATACACAGCTTTTATGCCTTGGGAGGTTCGTTGGATCACACCGAAAGCCATGGCTGTTCTCAAAGTTGTTGGAGCACTTCTATTCGTCGCCCTAGTGGCGGAGGTGGTAGTCGCCGCCAAACGTGGCCCCAAGGTCACCGACAAGGTGAGAAGAAGCGAAAGCAGTTTTGAACATTTGCTTTTGTTCATGTCTCGTTCACTTCATTGCTTTTCACGATGCAGTGCTGGACATTTGGGGTTCACAAAAGCTAATATTTTTGCGCAGAAGTTGAAAGATCTCATGCGTGGCTTACGAGAGGAAAGGGCACTTGGGAATTGTTGGGATGCGGCTGCAAAGTAGACCACGTGCGAGTCCTGGAATTCCGGCCACCCAGTGGCACCCACGCACAGGCGCAATATGTTGTGCTGGGAATGCATCATGACACAGTTGAGCGTAGGAATGATTGGAATGCCCAATTTGGAAGAGCACGAAACCACCCAAGTCTAATTAGACATAATATAGTGCAATATGTGCTGCTCCATGTACACCTGATTTCAGCCTCCGGGGCCAGCGGTGGACATTTGGCAATCGCGTCCAATAGCCGTTGTTGAAACAGGCACATTACATCCCGGGAATCGGTCATTAGGGATGTCCACAAAATGTTATTTTTTCGCATAAAATGGAAATGTAAAATGTGCAGAAAAAACCCAAAATGTTTTCGGGATATTTTCGAAAGTTCTCTAAAAATTGAAAAATCACCCAAAATTGCGCGAAAAATGTGACTGTTGCCATGGCAACCAAAATGGCGCTTCGTGTACCAGATCTACGAGTCGTCGAGCCGTATTGCCAGAATAGCTTCAGCTGTTACAGAAACATCGGTGGAAATGGCGTGCAGCGAGCCAAGTGTGTTGACGGAGGTCCACTCCGACTCCAATGAGAAGAGTGAGGAAGAATCCGACACCATCTCCATCGTAGAGTCTTCCGGGCAAGCCGCGAGTGAGACTCCTGCGGCAAGTTTGCTGGATAAATTGGCCCAAAATGGAAAAAAGTGTGAAAATTGCCCAAATGGCAAAAAATATGTGAAAATTACCCAAAATGCAAAAAAATCGAAAACATTTTGTGGACATCCCTATCGTTCATGCAACAGGCATTACATCATGTCAATGGTGTCAACTTGAAATTGCTGTGAGAGCGCTGCATTGCGGGAGTTGCACACTCTCTGGGCTGACCATTGCATTGTCTTGCGATTCGTCATTTTAGAATAAGTCTGGGGAAATACCCTCTCCCGCCCCTGCCACCCGTGTGCATGCTGGGTTCATACATGGCACTGTAGTACAATCAGACCTCGTTTAGCCGGTCCTCTTTTCCGGATCCCTCGCCATCCAGAAGAAAATCGCCGGTTACCGATTTACAGCATAATGTCATGCATACATACAGTATGTGTGTTCGATTATCTGCTTCCCTCACCTATCCGGATATTTTTGTGGAAAGCGGATGTGCGAGGTTAAGCGAGGTCTGGCTGTATTCGAATGTCTAGCGCCACTTACATGCAAGCGTAGTATAGAAATAATTATACTCGTGATTTCTCGCTCAACCACCTGCATACAGCATGTAGTGCTTAGGTTGTTCGAATCTACACACTACTGCAGAACATGACTTTGGTCCAGTTATATCTGTAGCCATGTGTGACTGCAGATATTTAGAAGGTTGTTACCCAATGGTATAGACAGCAAGCTGTTTCGGGGCCATAAATGCCTCATCAGTACAGCTACGAGCGTTAAGCAAGCCGAGAGAATGTTTAGGAATGGGTTTGCTCCCCACACTGGAGCTCGCGCTATTCCGCCGACTTGACTGACACACGACTGCCATCCAGAGCACACGAGAAGTCCATTGAACCTTCGACTCAGCAAACCTGCAAGAAAGCACCACTCCCTGCTCAATACACAGTGTTTCGGGGAATTCACCCCTCATCAGAGAGAATGTTGGTATATATTTTTGTTTGTGGTGTTGTTGGTTCTGGTATCAGGTGTACTTTGACATCACCATCGGTGGCAAGGCACAAGGTCGCATTGTCATTGGCTTGTTTGGCAAGACTGTTCCCAAGACTGTCAAGAACTTTGTCACTCTTGCAACTGGCGAGGTTTGTTTCTCTCTTCTGGCGTGTCTTGCCTGCTATGTTTATTCTGTGTGTGTGTGTGTGTGTGTGTCTCTCTCTCTCTCTCTCTCTCTCTCTCTCTCTCTCTCTCTCTCTCTCTCTCTCTCTCTCTCTCTCCTCTCTCCCTCTCTCCCTCTCTCCCTCTCTCTCTCTCTCTCTCTCTCTGTCTGTCTCTCTCTGTCTGTCTTCTCTCTCTCTTCTCTCTCTCTCTCTCTCTCTCTCTCTCTCTCTCTCTCTCTCTCTCTCTCTCTCTCTCTCTCTCTCTCTCTCTCTCTCTTGTGGTGTCTTAGTTTCCATCTACTATCTTTACCCGTTGGGTGCCTGGTAGATTTCTGTAATAATTGTGTTGTTGGTGCTGTGTGTGTGTGCATGTGCAGAAAGGGTTTGGCTACAAAGGCAGCAAGTTCCATCGTGTCATCAAGGACTTCATGATCCAGGGTGAGTGATGAGTAGTGATTGCGCCATGGCCATGTCATGCTCTACAGTATACTTCAAAGTACTGTGAGTCAAGAAATGTTCGGCGCATATTTATTTTCGGCTTTTTTTCGGCCTGGTCATGTTTGGCCGAAATTTTGTGTTGCAAGGTTCAGTGCGACAGTGTGTACTGACGGCAGCAGTACAGGCCGAAAATTTGATGTGGCTGAAATGATTGTTAGCCCTGGGAGGCTGAAATTTGAATGGGGCGAGAATTTGTAGACTTACAGTACTTGGAAGTACAGTCAGACCTCGCTTATCCGGATCCCTCGCCATCCGGACCAAAATCGTTTGTTGCCGATTTACAGCATATGTCATGCATACATACAGTGTGTGTGTTCGATCATCCGGTTCCCTCACCTATCCGGATATTTTTTTGTGGGAAACAGATGTGTGCGGTTATGCGAGGTCCGGCTGTACTAGTAATCAGGGTTTAGGGGTGTCTGGCTGGCAAGGTGGCGACTAGCTGTTCAAGAGAGCATGGGCTGGTTGTGCTGGATTCAGAGTACCACCTACTTGCTTGTTATGGGAAAAGCGTACGCGAGAACTGTGCCGAATGAGATGGACAGTGATTGCTGCTTTATGCATCAGCAAGAGTGCATAACCCCCCGAGTGTGCAAGGCCTGATCCAGCTCCGCATAGGGTATTGGTTGAGCGTAATCGGATCTTCTGATGTCATGCGTACACTCCACGCCAGCGCAAGGCCGGTACTTTACGGTAGTCACAGGGTTTACAGTACTCTGTTTTGTTTTGTTTGTATGTTGCATTCAGGTGGTGACTTTACCAACGGTGACGGAACTGGAGGTAAGACAAACAATGTGTGTATCTGCTGTACAACTATGAATTTGGTACGCATGTCGATTGCGAGTTTTGGTCCACTTCCACGGACGTAGTTGTGTGCAGATCACGGTCATAAGTTGATTTCATTTTTTAGGCTGTATGTTCACGAATCATGCATGTGCAAGGATCACGGGCCTTCACCCACGGCCCAGTGACTCGCAACGACCGTAGCACGGTTGCTGAATTTTCCCCGCTACCTCCCGCCCGACTCGTGCCAAGAGGGCAGTGCTCGCATGGACCATTCACCAGTGATGACGCATCTTATGGCTCTCTCTCTCTCTCTCTCTCTCTCTCTCTCTTTGCTCATCTACATCATATAAACTTCTCTCTCTCTTTCTCTTTTCTTCTTGTGCTAGGCAAGAGCATCTACGGCGAGCGCTTTGAGGATGAGAACTTCAAGCTGCGTCACTACGGCCCCATGTGGCTGAGCATGGCCAACGCTGGCAAGGACACCAACGGCAGCCAGTTCTTCATCACCACCGTCAAGACACCCTGGCTGGATGGCAAGCACGTCGTCTTCGGAAAGATCATCGAGGGAGAGGTCAGTGACCGATGCCGTGCAACTGCTGTCGGTACCAGGGCTGCCTCTGGTAGGGGTTTGGTCGGGTAATGAGTTCGGGTCTTTCTATCCGGGTAGCACGGGTACCCTACTAGCCGATGACACCCGTAGTGGGTACCAGTGGAGACTTTCTCCGGCAATATGATCTCCTTTTCTTGGCGAGTTCAAGACATTTTTTATGCGTTCTGCTTAGTTTTGTGTGGCGTGTCAAATAGCCTCTGTGCATATTATGGTTTACAGCCGAAATCTGAACCTGATCCTCTCAGTTCATTCCGGGTTTCCGCCGGTAGAATACCAGCAAGCCAGGGTCGCAATGCGCTCGACACGAAATACTCGGTACTGTAATGCCCCGAGCAGGCTGCTCCACATTGTACTCTGCTTATAGGCGTGTGTGTCTGCGTGCATGTTGGTTTGTGTGTGTGTGTGTGTGTGTGTGTGTGTGTGTGTGTGTGTGTGTGTGTGTGTGTGTGTGTGTGTGTGTGTGTGTGTGTGTGTGCATCTTGTCTTATCTCAGGATGTTGTACGCAAGGTTGAGGGCGTCGAAAAGGGTCCCAACGACAAGCCCAGCAAGGACGTCGTTGTTGCCGCCTCCGGAGTTCTGCCCGTCGATGGCGACATCTACGTCAACAAGGAATAGAGTGTCTCTAATAGCAGAAGGAGCAGTAGTGCATAACCTAACACCTACCCTGTCTCAGTGACACTTCCTCTCTGATAGCAGTCGCATTGCCGCTTGACTTCTAATATTATTGTGCTAGAAAAAGGAAACGCGTACCGATAGTTCTCTCTTACTAGCTACGATTATTTTGTAAGCTTTGTCATGACCGAAGAGTTTTATGCAATGTTTTATGGAGCAGTGCCTCTAATATCTTCTCATTGTCTTCTGTAGCTGTGACGGTGGAACGTGTACCGTGCACATGTGGTACGTGGTGTGTGCGTTCGTGCGTGCGTGCGTGTGCGTGGTATAAAGGGTCTATACAATAGAGGGATAATACAACTCCCTGGTTCTGACAGTCATAATGCAGGGCCTGTTAGTAGTGTAAATGCATACGTACACGTTCATTGCAGTGCCATTGCACCATTCGTTTAGTGAAGGGAAGGTTGTCTAGATCCTATTACACACCTCCCCTGTAAATTGTTTGTGGTGACTTTCTACGTGTGCTTGCGATTCTTGACCAATTTTCTAGCAAGAGGTCGTTATGTATACTACTCTTGCTTCTACCGAGCCATGCATTGGCGATGCCAGGGTCATCAGGTGCGCCACTTGCTTGATCTCTGCGACGTATATGGCCTGAAAAATCACGTTATCTCCCCAACACGAGTCCAACTATTTCCAAGTAGGTATTTTACGACTCACTGGCGATGGAGTGCATACCGGTATGTCACGTAGCTACAGTCAAACCTCTTTGGATGAACATGGGACCCATGGTATCAAGAGTTCATGGGGGTTACGAACTCTTGATGGATGGGAGTTGCTCTTATCCGTATTTTGCACATGTATGCACAATCATTAATTTTATGCAATAGTTATGAATAATACCAAGAGTACATAACCCAAGAGTGTTATGTATTCTTGATAATACTTGTAGCAAGTTCATCTAAAGCGATACGATACTGACCGCCATGCTAAAGTCCCAATGGACATGTAGTGAACATAGCAGACACATGTGGCATAAACTTGCACTTTTCAGATGCATGTAACACAGCTAGCATGTGCATGGCAGCATGCAAACATGATGCTAATAATGTATCGTTGTTCCGGCATACTAAGGGGGCGTTCGAATTGTCACTCTGACTTTTCGAGGAGTTTCGTTCTTATGAAGAAGTGGCTTATTATTGGTCTCATCAAAAAAAAAAAGTCTCCTTGAAACTCGATCCACAACCTCATCCAACAGGAGAGGTGGATTAGTTTAGAGGAGCTTGGAATATTCCTGCGGAAACTGGCTTTCGTATGCATTTCCCGTAGAACCTACGACAAAACTTCCACATACGCCTGATACGGTAGAGGAAGCCCATATTCACGTGGGAGGCACCCTTGGAAAAACTCATCGCTATGACAATCGAAGGGAAGTGTTCAATTGGGATGCCTTAAGTACATGTACAACTAATCTCTTCCAAGATGTTTCTCGAAAGGTGATGAGGACAATTCGAACGCGCCCTGATTATGAAACGCTGACTAACTCCTTGTTCGGCATTCGAAATGCACAGCACCGAGCAAGTCATGGAAGACGGTATCATTATCCAGCTACAGGACCAGACAAATAAACATTGCAGAAATCACTATTGTGACGAGTGAAATCCTTGACGCATGGTTTACTATCAATCGCCGGGTCGTCAGATGCCACCATTTTTAAAGCTAATCCCAGAAATTGCCCACTTCAGAGAGAAAGAGTAATGGCATGAAGACTTTGAAAAGAACAAAGGTGCCATATCATACATGCATATGAGCAATTTTTTTCAAAAAGGTCAAAGGCTGCCTCCAAGAGGTTACGGTTCTGCAAGTCCTAAAAAAATATTAATAAAAAATCTTGCCCTAATAGTAAATGTCCTTTGGAGAGAAAACAAAGGAAGAAATAAACAGTGTTTGCAAATGCATAGTCACAACCCTGGACTCGAGAAGTGAAACATTCGTTGTAAAAGGTAAACAAACAAAAAACAAGCCAACAGCTGCTTCAAAGAATAATTAAAAAAAGAGAGTATAATTTTGTACTGTGATTGATGTGATGCCAGCACATGATGAAACAGCTATGCGAAAATCACTCAATGACCTAGTGGTATGTTGACCTGAAGTAGAAGTCGTCCTGAAACGATGTACAAGTAGCATAACAGATTGATAGGGGTAGATGGATTTTTCTGTTGCACGTACGGATAATCTGATAAAACGAACATCGTGCACAGGTGAAACGAACATTGAACAATGGTAAAACGAACAGAGTGCAACAGTCCAACTCTAGAAAACGTGAAAACATGGACAATCCTGATGATGGCCCAATGCCGAAATATTGGTTGAGAATTTCTTTTTATTTTATCGTGCAGTCTAGAGACCGGATTTAGTGAAGTAAGTTCTAAAACATGGAACTTGTCTAGAAAAGCATGGCAGTCATACCCGGGCCGTGGTGAGTAAGGCCACTGAAGAACAAAACGAAGCAATCCACAAGGGGGAATAAGCACCATGAAGTTCCAGGAAAAGAATTGAGAAACGTCATGGTGGTGTTCGGTCATTTGTCATTCTGGCTTCTTTATCTCATGCGTATCCAAGGGCAATCGTTTCTGACTGTCGTGACAACTCATTACCCATGATGGCCGGACAAACTTCAATGTTGAAACATCGGCGAGTGCCTGGTACACCAAAACGAAAACGAAAACAAATGACAGAGAGAAAGAGAAAGAGAGAGAGAGACAGAGAGAGAGAGAGAGAGAGAGAGAGAGAGAGAGAGAGAGAGAGAGAGAGAGAGAGAGAGAGAGAGAGAGAGACGGACATACAGAGGTGGGCGGTTAGAACAATCATAACAGCGTATGCGTGAATTCTTCGATCCTCTGCTCCGAGCACCAGACTACAAGTATGTGTGACACAGTGACATACAGCCATCTCAGCCCATGGATTTTGATCTCCCCCCCCCCCCCCCCCCCCCCCAGGTGTTGGAAGGTATTTTAGTGTGGTACGGTCAGCCATCTGAAGTACAATTTACTCGTGGGGGAGGGATGGCTGAGCCGAAAATCTTGGAAATTTAGAGCCCAAATCAGAGGATTTTATTGATTCACGGGGTACTAGGGGCAAATAGTGGTAGGGTCAATACCGTAGTGACCGTACCGTGTGCGACGCCCCTGCCCCCCCCCCCCCCCCCAGGTATACGCAGAACTCAACATTGCGCTTACGAAAATCACTCGATCTACAGCTACTGTACTGCCGGGCACCGAAGAACGGAGTGCCGAAGAACGGAGTGCCGAAGAACGACCAGGCTAGAATTTTTACCATGCACAGCATACCGATGAATACAAAGTAACCCAACTGTGCATAGACTGTAGTACATGTACATGAGGATAAGAACGGTCTAGGCTAGGAAGCTGACCCCCCCCAGTTCTTCGGCGACCGACAGCACTGTACAGGTGTTGATTCAGATCATACAACTATGGGCAATACATTCACACACCTGATCAAAATTCCTGTCCCACTCCGAGTCTGTAATAACGTAGGTGACATCATCCGCCATGTAGTCCTCGATGACTCTGAAACGATCGGAGCACGGACAGACAGACAGACAGACAGACAGACAGACAGACAGACAGACAGACAGACGCATATACACACATATGAAAAAGGCTAAAAAGACTAATGTCCCGTCGCGTCACAAAAGCTGAAGCGGAGCTGGGCAACGGTGGACAACAACAATTGACATTTCAACAGGCACAGGTGGTCACAGAATCACACCATGGTGGAAGAGACGCATAGCCAGAGCAAGTGCTTCTTCTTAGCTCCAGCGCAACACTTCCAATCTATATGACCCACACAAGGCCACAGCGACTCACTGTAACTAAAGGCAACATTGCATAAAATGGCTAGGTGAGTGCAAGGCAAAGCTTATTGTTAATTTGTTATAAACAACCTTATTCTCCCCTGAAGATGGTCATAGTGACCGAAACGTTGAACCACAACGTCCGATCGACTGTGTGAAATAGCAGTGCAACTGAGCGCTGGCCAGTGTTATTATCCTGATATTGTTTCCCCGTCAAACGAAAAAACAAACAAACACTGTACTAAACGAGACTGAGCAGAGCTTGCACGTGCACAGATCCAAACATCCAGCGGATGGCTTACTAGCTGTACGCGCAGACATAGCAAACCAGAGCCTTGCGCAAAGCATATTGCTATAATATTATACAATCATACCTCGTTTATCCGGACGGTTCGGGACCGGGCACAGCCCGTAACTTTGAAATGTCCACAACTACGAATCACATCCATTGTGATGGGGAAAGGCCATACTAGTAGGTATGGCATATGACATCACTATTTCCACACAAAGCCTCGGTGACAAAAGAGTAGTAATATTTCCACTGAAACTCGCCCAAAGGGTGCCAGTGACAAAAGAGTAGTAATATTTCCACTGAAACTCGCCCAAAGGGTGCCAGTGACAAAAGAGTAGTAATATTTCCACTGAAACTCCCCCAAAGGGTGCCGGGTAGAGCGAACTGTTCGTACCTTTGGGGTCCGGATAACAGAGGTATGAGTGTAAAACGTTATTCTCGTGCCAAATGAAACACACACTGTGTAACGAGACTGCGCAGAGCGTCCTTGCAAGCGCGCACACATACACACAGCCAGCAGCGGACAGCTTACCCGCCGTACGCGCACACGTAGCGGACCAGCGCCTTGCGAATCGACGGCTTGAAGTCGCCGAACAGCAGGAAGTGCACGCCGTCGTAGAAGCTGGCCAGTCGAGGAGGCCGGCCGCCTGTCGGGCGTTGCGATGACGATGCCGCCGCTGCTGCCGCCGCCGCAACAGTGTTGGAAACCAACGATGGTGTGCCCGTGGCCTTGCTACTGCTGATGCTCGTTGTCTTCACCGGTGTAGCCTGAACAACAGGATGAAAACAACGCGTTCAACATCATTAGGTCGCTGAATGTCTCAGTAGCCTGTCAGTTTTGTGCCCTGTTATCGCACGTACTGACCGCTTATTATCTTGTTACATTCGTGTGTAGTTGCTTCATCACTCGTGTCCATGTGTTTTCTTCTTCTTCTATATTTCAATATCATAATCAGGATTTCAAGATTGCAATTCCAAATCTGGGCTTCACGTAGAATTTCAAAGTATCAGGAAACTAGGCCACCTACATCGTACTGCTCTTTCCCTCGCTCCGAAACACAACACTTGCAAGCCAGACACGGAAGAGCAAATTCAAGACGTGCTAAAACCGTGTGTTGTGTTTGTGCAGTGGGTACGCATTTCGGTCACACTGAATTCAAAATCATTCCCGGCAAAGAAAGTCGAATATAGAGGTTATGCGATAACGTCAAATCCACCATATATAGGAGCCAGTTGGGGTGGCAAAATGCCCAAAGCGGGTACAGAAACCCCTTATATAGAATAATTTGGGGTGGCAAACATACTACTGTAAAAGCAGAAATTCTCGGTGGTGTTTTATTTTCGGTAACTTCGGTGCCGACAATTTTTACCGAAAATAAAACGCACCGAAAATTTCGGTACAACCTGTGCTGTATACATGTAGTACTACAGTCAGACCTCGCTTATCCGGTCCTCTTTTATCCGGATCCCTCGCCATCCGGAAGAAAATTGTTGGTTACCGATTTACAGCATTTGCCATGCATACACACAGTATGTGTGTTCGATTATCCGGTTCCCTCGCCTATCCGGATATTTTTTGTGGAAAACGGATGTGTGCGGTTATGCGAGGTCCGACTGTAGTACACTTTCCTGGAAAACGGGTTTTACCGAAAAATTTCCCTCCACCGAACCGCCGATTTTCGAGAATACCGAAAATATGACACCACCGAAAATTTCTGCTTTTACAGTCAGTATGACGTATATCGCACAACGTCTATAGTACAACCTGTAAATGCGTCCACCTGTCCCAGAGGACCACTACAACCAGGACCAAGGGAGTTAGCTAGCTGTATCTCCAGTCACATGACCCTGGAAAAGGAGATCACATGACCCTGGATAAGGAGATCACCTGTACACAGTGACCACATTTTGAAAGTCCCTTGAGCGGTGATCGCCTGTGAAAGGTTTCACAGTACATGTACATACGGCTTTGTGTCCAGCAGGCAGAGCTGACATCTCCTCATCCACTTCAGTGTCCGATGATGACGACGACCGAGCTGCATCATCTCCACCCACCGGAGAAGAGCCGTCTTTCTGTTGTTGCTGCACGCGGAGCCTGGAGATACCATAGGCGCCGATACAAGCGTGCATGCACATCCACATGTGGACACACACCAGGTCAAGGTCGGAGAGAGAGAGAGAGAGAGAGAGAGAGAGAGAGAGAGAGAGAGAAAGAGAGAGAGAAAGAGAGATAGAGATACACACACACACACACACAGAAAGAGAGAGAGAGAGAGTGCGGTGATTGTGTGGAGACTGAAGTGGAATTGAAAGGCCGAATGCGGCTACTCACACATCCTGAACAAATTTCCACGTAGAGTGTCGCTACAAATAACCCGCTTTAAAGTACAGTGCTACTCAATAAAATCCGATCGCGCCAAGCACGCGCCGGGCGCTGATCAGCCCACACCCTACGAATCCTGTGATGTTCACTGGTGCAGGGCGCAAACATCACTCACACGATCGAATTTCATTGAGCACCAATCTGCATAATAAGTAACGCGTAAAAAAGTTTTTGAAAAGGTTTCATTGAGTCACTAACCTTTCTAGCTCGTCTTCTGTATCACTGCCTGAGGCTATGTGAAGAGCAACAACGAGAAAACACAACAAGAACATATGAGCACAGCACTTGTTCCAACTAAATGCACTGCAGCAATCAGTAAAGAACCTACATTACGAAAGGTACGAAGACTGTAAACTAAAACAACTAACTTCAAGAACATGAGAACAACGGAAGATATAGAAAACGAGCACGGCAGGACAGTGCGTAGATTACTAAACTATTCATGCTCGGATATGGTACGATGCACATAGAGAGGGTGCTCAGGTTACACACTCAGACATGAATGGTGACAACATGTGAATGCATAAGAGGGGGGCATAGAAAGGTCAAACACTGACCTGGATTGGACATCCGTAACAGTGGTCAGTTACGGCTAGGCTATAGCATACAATGCATGTAATAGCCATGAATGAGTCTCAGTCGACCTACCAAGCATGACCAGCACTAATGCACTGGACTACAACTATCAAAACAAAAGAAAGACCGGAATATTCTAGAACAAATCTAACAGCACTAACAAATAAGAAGCACAGCACTGAACGATGATGTTGGGATGATTAGTTTGCAAGCTGGTAAAGGCACCACACAGGTACTGGATATGGTGGAACGGCAAACAGACGCACAGACGTACACACACACACACACACACACACTTACTTGTACTTGCTCACTGCCAAAACTGGTCACGTGAGTCTCCCCGGGAGAGGGGAGAGAGATTCAAAAGGGATTTTGGAAAGATGATTCAATCGGCTATTGAACCACCTAACAGCCGACACCGCCTGGAAACCCCAAACTATGGGTGGACTTGGAAATGATCCCACTTATGGGCACACACACACACGCACAGCAGCATGTCAAGAAGAAAGATACAGGACAGACAAAACTTACAATAAGCCGTAGCCTCACGATCTACAGCGGTGCTTGCCCTGACAGCACTAGTGTCTGCGGTGTTACCATCCGAATCACTGTAGTTGACAGCAGCTTTGGCTGCAGCAGCCACTGCCTTGCGTTTAGCCTGTGGACTGCCTCGGGGGCTGTGTGACGTGTTGCGTGACTGTCCCTGAATACAGCACACGCACACATGCACCGTACATATGCACAGTACACATGGGCACAGGCAGACAGACAGACACGCACACACACACGCACCGTACAGAGGCACGTGTACAGATAAACACACAAAAACACACACATGCATACAGACATAGACACAAATAAACACACACACACACACACACACACACACACACACACACACACACACACACACACACACACACACACACACACACAAATAAACACACGTACACACAAGAAAAGCAACACACGCTACGGTATAATGCTGATCCAGAAAGCTCAAACAGGAGAGATCTTAGCTGTTGCCACACAGTCACACGTCGTGTGGCATGAACCAGCACTTCAAAGTAGTGTGGTAGATTTAGCAGGGCGGAAAAAGAACTACTGTAATTTCATACATTTTTGGTGTACTTTTATTTTCGGTACTTTCGGTGCGTCTGTTTCATACCTAAAGTTCCAACACACCGAACAAACACTAATACACATAATCCAATAGGGAACTGCTTCTCTGTACCTAAAATTTCTGTTCACCTAACCCGGCCTTTGCCCTAATACCAAAAATATTGAGCACCTAAAATTTTCTGAAATTAGAGTATGCAATACACGATTTCTCAGTCCAGTGTTCACAGGTCTGGGGCTGCACAGTGGCCTCAAGTGATCATGAGTCATGTGATCATGACTCATGATCACATGACTCATGATTCATGCGATCGGATTTCATTGAGCAGCACTGTACCTTATGACTGGTAGAGGAGGCGGTGGCGGACGTAGCAGCTGCAGTTGTCTTAGTAGCCGCCACCGCTGCTGTTGCTGGTGCGGCAACGTTCCTGTAGGGCTGCGTGGAGCGGGTGTCGTTGTCCTCGTCGTCGCTGGACGAGGAGCTTGCGTCGGCCGCGCTGAACACAAACCTGGAGAGAGACGGATGACAACAATCCGAGAACACATCCGACCAGGAAATATACACATGGACACACTAGGTTCATCTACGTGCAGATGAAGGTTGAGTGTTTTGTACTTTGGAAGGGACATCCTGTGAACCAAGCATCGTGGGAGCTAGCGCACCACATATCAGAGGACCTGTTGATTTCCTCACGCGGCCACAAGCACCTCCAACGAAGCAGCTGCAAGAAGAAGATCATGTGCTGCGCTGCAAACTTCTAGGAACTTTGAAGACCGGTTGGCCGATTGCCCCGTCACAAAAAAATGCAACATACGGGTGCACAGAGCGCCCGGAATGATCGATATGAGGCCGCATTTTGCATTGAAAAATGAGTAGGGTGGTGCAGTAACTGGTGCGCTATTGCCCCGCCCGCCCCGGCTAGAACACGGGTATAGAACCAGTATGCGTAATGCACATCTACCGCCAGTCTGTGATATCACTCACCGCTTAGTAGTGAGGCGACGTTTAGCAGTATGACAATGCTCTATCCAATCTTTCGTAACAATGATCCCACGGTCACCTAGACAACATAAACACACACACACACACACACACACACACACACACACACGTATGCATACACGCACACACGCACACACATACATGTATGCATACGCATAGACAGATACGCAGACAGACATACAGACAAACAAAGTCCATGATTGGTGGAGGAAGAAGGCAAGTGATCTTTCTAAGAAGCTCAACTGACAAAACTCAGACTTCGTGCTGGAAATGTTTCGACTTTCTACAGGAAAAGTCGTGCAAGTGCCACCGAGTCGTAAAAAAATGGCTAGATCATGAGTTCAACTCCCTACTGGACTTCCGACTGTTTACAGGATAACGGCTGCCTACTGAACGTAACAGAAATAAATCGACACAGAACATACATGCTGCTCCTACCTTTGACTTGCTTGTACTTTGGCGTATTCTGAAACGCAGCACTGCACGGAGGGAAACCAGACACACAAAGTACAGGGCATGAAGCAAAAACACTTCAAAACAGCCTGTCACAAACTTAAGTATCCACTAGAAAGCACACATTTCAAGCTGTTGCAGCAGTGGTGGTGGTGGTGATGGTGGACATGCAGCAGTGTTGCCCACTCACTGTAATAATCGGGGCAAAACTTACACGAGATGAGTGCAGCCTGTTTCCCATTGTGATCGATACTCGGCACCCAGGGCAAGGCCTTTGTCGCGTAGATTGCCGCGCAGAGGGTTCTGAAAGCCACTTAGCGCAAACACTACTCCATCCTGCCATCACGACAAAGGTCAAGAAAAACAAAGAGTTAAAAAAAACACTTTCAAAAAGGTGAACTGCCTAGAGAAACCGTTTCACAATAGGGGTTTTCACTTTTCAGGGTGCATGGCAACATCCAACTATTTATGCCGCAAAAAGCGGCACCTGGGAATATCGTGAAAAGCCTTGAAAAGGAGTTTATAGTATGAGCTGATTGTTTAGTAACTGGTGGTGTTAGTGGAGATTATAGCGTAACTTGTAGTTTCTTGGTCTTTCTTTACAGTATAAATTTACCCTTGGCTCTCCATCTGGGTCCAAAAGGAGTTTCACCAGCAAAACCCAATACTATAAATATACAAAATTTCGGCACTTCACGATTTTTGACATTTCGGCGGCGATTTATTTTCGGAATGGGGTAGAGGGCATGGTATAGTGCGACAGATGCTGTGAAAAATTTCATCGGCGTTTTAATTTAGGCGTTTTGGGTCGGTGCCGGATATAGCCGAAATTAAATAGCTGCCGAAAATTTGTATATTTACAGTAATGGGGCTGGGCGATGTGCCTACCACAAAGTAGGCTAAAAATACTACTCGTGCACACATGCACACATACACACATGCAGACACGATATCCCCCCCCCACAAACACACACTGATGAACACCACCAGTAGAAGAATACCCCCCCCCAAAAAAAACTCGAGAAAGAGATGCAAAATACCTACCAGGACTTCCTCAAACGGCACATCAGCTTTCTTTCCACCGGTACGACGCATGCGTTTAGCAGGCGGCGGTTGGCCGGCGTTGTCCTTGCCACCTGTGCTGTTCGCACTGCTGTTGCTGTCAGCACGGGGCATCTTAGGCGAGGCTTTGCGCTTCTGTGATGTTGCGGCGGCGGACGTTGACGGCTTGAGGGACGCGTCCGGGTTCGGGCTAGGCGTTCGTCTCGGGACGCCAGTTGTAGCTGCGGTGGTGGGCTGTGCCTTCGCTGAGAGTGTGGAGCTGGCATCGCGTGCTTGAGCAGCCATGGACGAAGCTGACGACGCCTTGACACACACAAAGTAAATGAAAAGCGAACATGGACAGCCTTAAACTTCCGAGTTAGGAGTTCAGTGTTTCAGGTACTGTACGCCAACAAATATTAGGCGCATATTTATTCAAAGGATCAGTCGGGAAAGAAGAGCCTGTATGTACAGGGCGATGTGTAACCCTGGACCTGCAAACACTGGGACATGAACTGGTACAGGGGGCAGACTTGACTCACATCATTGTTTGCATTTAGCAGCACTGTGCTACTAAGTGGACACGTACCGCAGTAGTCGAGGTGGGCTGATCGTTGCGAGTGGCGAACAATGATCCGACCGACATGTTGCTGGAAGAAGCAGCGTCCCGGAGGTTGAACTTGCCAAAACTAGGCGTGCTTGCCTGCAAGACAGAAAGAGAGAGAGAGAGGGGAGAGAGAGGGGGAGAGAGAGAGAGAGAGCGAGAGAGGTTCAAGCTAAGGGAGCAAACAAGAATACGCCGTCTCAAATCCAAATTCCATTGTAGACACTCGTTTTCCGCACAAATCCCCCAGTACGTACACAACCCCCATGAGACTTAATTAAAACCGGATTGGGAGCACACAACATAAGACAAACACCCATAAGCAGCAGCTGTTACCCTACCAGCGAGGGTACTCCTCCTGCTGCTGAAGTGGTCGATGCAGTGGACAATGATGCCGACACATCTGCATCGTCCGCATCTCCCGGCCCGCGGAACTTGACGAACGAGACGCCAAACTTCTCAACCTGCAACAACACACCACCAGGGAGTGTTTAAAGCACAGGCACACAGGACACTGACACACTACCAGGGAGTGTTTTAAGTAAGAGTATATCAAAGGCACACCGGAACAGCAGGGAAGCCTGAACTTGAAGGTATCAGAAACGTGATTCTAGCCAAATAATGCAAATGGAAATGGAAGACAGGTAGGGTTCATCAAGGAACACTTAATTTCCTTGTGCAGAAAATCAACAACAGTCGTGGCCAAAAAATCCAACCCACGGGCCAAAGTGGTGCCAAGGCACCTGCAGCCCTCGGATTGGTTTGTCGGACGTGCATGATGAAATTGAAATGGAAACGGGACGCTACTCTTGAATGGCGGGTCGGATTTCTTTGGCTACAGCCGTACATGTACTCCAGCTAATCAAAACCCACAACCGAGGCTATGGCCTAGGAAGTTGAATGCGGATCATACCTTATTGAAGGGCTGACGACACACCACCTTGATCCGGTCCCACTTCTGATCGGCCGTGGTCTTGCTCAGTGCATCCTTGTCTAAGACCAGACACACAACACGCACACACACGCGCATGCACACACACCCACCCACCCACACACACCACACCCACACACCCACCCACACCACACACAGACACGCACAGACACACAGACACACAGACACACAGACAGACAGACACACACACACACACACACACACACACAAACAGGTCAGTGATGGAACAAGGCTATTCATTTGCTGCTACTCAGAGTTACATGGTTAGTCACCAGTCTTCAATTATATTCAAACTAGACCCTACACGAATTCACAGGACCTCATGGTACTCGTGGTTGACTAATATGGTGGTAAAGACACACCTGGCAGTATGGCGGTAAACACCGTATTTCCCCGATTGTAAGCCACACTCGATTGTAAGTCGCACTCCTATTCCAGGTCGATGCCATATTGTTTCGATATACCCAATGCTGTAGACAGCAAGCTGTTTCGGCCATAAAGGCCTCATCAGTACAGCTACGAGCTAAATAGGCCGAGCTACCAGCCATGGTGCAAAGGAGGCACCACAGACATTCAGATAGCTCGTCGCTCTAGCGCCAGAGTGCTCAAACTACAAAAAGTAGCGGGCATTGCGCGATGCAGCAGCACTAGAGCAGCCTACTGAGAGTGCTCAACAAGGCGAAAGCCGAGGAGCGTGATACCCAATGCTGTTGTTTCGATATATTCACTTCAGTAGTGATCATGCTCGATTGTTAGTCACATCCCCTTTGTTGGCCCTGAAGTTGAGTGTAAAAAGGTGAGACTTATATTCGGGGAAATACGGTACACGTCTGCCCACACATGCTCTCTAGGCTGCAAAGCTCTCTGTCTTCAACTTCACATTCTCTTCACGGTACTTACTGAACATTCTCACTGAGTTTATATTCTTCCATGTCTTGCTGTCACCCGGTGTCATGAAGCTGGACGCTACGACAAGCACCTGAACAAGAAACAACAGGATAACAATGGACACTGGAGAAGTGAAAAAATGACGCACAGCTAGCCGAGTTGTGCGTGTAATGCTCCACGTGGCCGAACGAAGACGTGCTTCAAGATACTGTGCACGGTTATGCCATTGACAGTGATATTCGTGTGTTTCATTCGCAATTGTATTTTCTCTCACCTTGACGGGTTACATGGGCCGTATCCTTGCCTGGACCTAGTCATACTCGAATTTTCTGGTCGTGTTCAGACATACAGATTTTGAAAATATATGGTTTACCCATACCTATATCACATAGTTCTTGAGTTATTCCTGGTTGTGCGTACAGTCAACTTCGCTTATAACGACACTCGGCGGGCATCAGAAAAGTGTCCTTATTCGCTAAGTGTCCTTATACCCGAAGTCCCATTATATGTGTTACAGGTGGAAGGGACTTTGCTCTGGCATAGAAATTCTGTCGTTATTCGCGAATTGTCGTTATATCCGCAGTGGTTATTAGCGAAGTTGACTACATGTATTTGCGTGACCACCCCTCACATACATTGAGTTAGACCGGCAAAGGGCTACTGGGCCGGTCACACATGCAAAGTGGTTCGGCTTAGTAGGGCAAGGTTTCCTGGCAGGTCTGCTGTGCCTTTTTTCACCATGAGAACAGTACTAACGATGCCACTCACACAACTGACATTGACTACTGTAGAGGCAGAACATTTCGTCGGTCAATAATTTCGTCCAACTCCAAAAAAAGGAGTTCGTCCGGTTGAAAATTTCATCCATGGATCATAAGAGTGTATAGAAAAGCTGGGCAAATCAACATTAGTCCTACATTTAATCTAGTCCAAAAGCTCCTTGGACGAAAAAGACAAAATTAAATTCAAGACGAATATTTCTGCTTATACAGTATCACAACCGTATCAACATCAGCAGTATCAACAGCAGCAGCAGCAGCAGGCGCAATGCAGGTAATGACATAACAAAAACACACAAGGAATCTTTTAGGAAACTTCACCTATCAACTCCAAACTCCAAAAACGGTCTCTTCACTGCGATTCAAATTCAAATTTACACTACACCGAATCGCAGTGAAGAGACCGTTTTCGAGTTTGGAGTTGAGAAGTGAAGTTTCCTAAAATGTAATGTGTAAATGGCTGCGTTCGAGTTTGCAGACAATTAGACAAGGAATCTTTCACAATTATGTTAATATCCAAGTGTTCGTACACTGTGTTCAGTTTGTTCCAGGCTGCTCTCACCTGGAATTCAGAGGAGGTGCTGCGGCAGACGAGTACTTCGACAAACGCTGAGCCGGCATTTCCTGCAACGAGAAATGAAATCAACGGGAGAAAAAATCACTTGCATGGTTAATATCTCACGTGCCACCGCTCCCTCCAGTCCACAGCAGCTGAAGATAGGAGTTGTACACTCCTGGCACACGCACCGTAAAATCGTGTATAAAGGCCGCGGCTTATATGGGGATTTTTGCAGGCTTCTACATGAGACAGGCTTCTATACAAGACAGGTATTTCTATGTATGTCAACACTAAAACCAGGCTTATGTGCCGACAGTGTATCTTGAAAATCAGGCTTCTATTCAAAACACTACGGTAGTCTTGTTTGCACGCAGAACACAGTAGAGAGGTGCACATGTACCAGCAACTCGTAAAAATGTGCACAAAACGAGAGAGTGGAACGAGCGGCGGGTGCGTAGCCAAACCTCTTAAAGGGGAAGTTAAGGCAAAAATTAAAATTTCACCAGTTGTAGTCTTCGGGGTGCTGAGTCGAATGGTCTTGGTCCGAGAAAGCTGAGACGCTCCCTTCCTACTTGAATCCCAATCGAACTCGCACACTTCCACCGAAACTGGGTGACTGCGCCCTACTAGATGGGGATTTGTATGCAAAATGTCACTAAAAGCGCCATTTCGTTCTTATAAAAGCACGGATGACCGCGATTGGCACATATGTTGTAGTCTTTTGGACGCTGAGTCGACTAGTTTTGGTCCGAAAAGGCTGCGATGCAGCGTTCCTCCTTTATTCCCAATCGAACATGGTTGAACAAGCGGTCACGTGCTCCTGGGTGCCCAGATCACCTGGTCACCACGCCAGCAGGCGACAACTTTCACACCAAGGTTCAACTCGAGTGACAGGACTGCACCCAAAAAAGGTCAAACAGGCTAGTAAGTTGTACCCTGCAGGCACGGTGACCAGGTGACTGGCGTACGCAGGAGCACGTGACCGCTTGTTCAACCATGTTCGGTTGGGAATAAAGGAGGAACGCTGCATCGCAGCCTTTTCGGACCAAAACCAGTCGACTCAGCGTCCAAAAGAGTACAACATATGGGCCAATCGCGGTCATCCGTGCTTTTATAAGAACGAAATGGCGCTTTTAGTGACATTTTGCATACAAATCCCCATCTAGTAGGGCGCAGTCACCCAGTTTCGGTGGAAGTGCGCGAGTTCGATTGGGATTCAAGTAGGAAGGGAGCGTCTCAGCTTCCTCGGACCACGACCATTCGACTCAGCACCCTGAAGACTACAACTGGTGAAATTTTAATTTTTGCCTAACTTCCCCTTTAATTATTACATGTAGAGTAGCATTCAGGCATGCAGCCACCGTTTCCCTCTCTGTATTCCTCTTCTGGAATGAGAATGAGAAGTTTACTCTATACTGTATAACAACGTTATTTTCGGTGTAATTTTAATTTCTGTACAGAATTCAGGCACCTAAATTTAGATTACACCTAAAAGGCACTAGAGTATGCACTGTATGTGAAGGGTAGGCTGGTCACCTAATTCTACGTTACACCTGAAACCTGGCAGGTCCCTGGTACCGAAATTTGAATACACCTAAAATTTAGGGCTGAAACGATTATACCGAATAATCGAGTACTCGTTTGATAACTCTAGCGATCGTTTAGATTACCGATTGCGATTATTTTGCGTTTTTTAAATTTGTGTCCAGAAAGTACTGTAAACCCTCGTTTTGTGAAGTTTGAATCAGTTTCCGCTGGGAGTATGCAGTTGCCAGGGGCATGGTTCATGTTCTGAGGTTAAATTGACTTCAAAACTGCCATGTTTCGGAGCTACCCTTTCACCAATGCAGATTTGTTGGTATTATGAAGGCATAGTTTGTGGAAACAGAGTAATGTTTGCACAGAATTATGACACTATTTGCTAACGATTATAATCGATTACTCGATCGTTAAGCTAAAGAGTAATCGATACGTACAAATCCACGATCGTTTCAGCCCTACTAAAATTACATGATATGCAGTACCAGTGCGGGTCAATTGGGCAAGGATACGAGAAACACAGTCCTGCTCACAGCCGTAGTCTGTGTGTTGTTACATGTTCTCCTGTCTACCCTCCCTCCACTTACCTATGTCGACCGAGCTGATCTCACATGCCTTCTCCAGCTAATGAACACACAGGACAAACACACACAGACATACATGCACACACACAGACACCCACACACACGCTTGCAAGGATTCGAGGCCAAGAAGTTGTGCTTCAGACATTCACAACTCCTGGACAACCAGCGAGCGACCGAACACAACAATGTGCCCATGACTGGAGTACAACACGTCTACTGATTTGGACCAAAATCTGGATTACAATAGAGCCACGTTCAAGTGCACGGAGTAGTACTCATAGTGCTGGGGTCGAGTAGCGCCCGTGCATCTTGACCATGAAGGCATATTTCACTGGCATTAAAATTCATTTCTTTGCACTTCAGCCAAACTCTGCATTGAGTAGGTGTGCGTCATTGGGACAGCGTAAGAGGATAGCTGATATTACCTGGAAGATGATGCTGGCTTCTTTTTCGCCACCTGCTGCACACAACCATTTCTGCTGTCCAGATGAGCGCAATAAATTGCTAGCCTTGTGTACCTGAACACAGAGAAGAGTGAGAGAGGGAAAGGGAGAGAGAGAGAGAGAGAGAGAGAGAGAGAGAGAGAGAGAGAGAGGGAGAGAGAGAAAGAGAGATAGATAGAGAGACACAGAGACAGAGAGAAAGTGCATGTGAAAAAACCGCCAATGCTTCGAGTCAATATTCTGGCATTTCCTTTTCTTTTCTTTTTTCCACCGCACTCACCCACACGCTAGCGGTTTTATTGGGGTTCTTCTAACATATATCATGATGTAAGGGTGGCAAATGCCTTAAAAAAGCACTGTTTCGCATGTTGTGGTTGTTGTTGTTGTCCTTCCATCTATCCATGGCTGTTATCAGTGGTTATCGCTTTTTTCTTCTTCAAACAAATTAGGGGTGTGAACGAGTAGTAGGGTACCCGTGCTACCCGTAATTTGATCGGGTAGTAGGGTAGCAATTTGCTCCTGAGAACCCGATAGGGTAGTTGGAGTACGGTGTTTTGCAATGGTGCATGTAAACAGAATGGCTGCGTGCTACAGTACACTTTCTATGTAGCGCAGGTGCACACACTCACGGTACAAGCTGTGTCAAAAAAATACCCGATAGGGTACCCGTGCTACCCAGATAAAAATACCGAAACCCGTTACCCGACCAAACCCCTACCCATTGCAGCCCTAAAAAAATGTCCCACCATACCTTTTGGGTATATAAAAGCCAGGCGGATCGAAACCAGCTTTCGCCGCCCATGCGCCGGGGGGGGGTTAGGCTATTGCAGTGTAGCTTATACAATTGATGTCGTATTATCATGTAATTCCATGCAAGTGTTCACACAATAAATTAAAAAATAATGCAAGCGTATACGCACCAGCTTGCATGCACACACACACGCACACACACTACTACTACTACTATAGCATGACTGCCCATTGGGCAATGTCACCCCCGGAGGGGGCCAGAGTTTGGAGTGCACCGTCATTGGCAGGACTTCTGGTGCCTCGTCAAATCTTGCTGTCGTCGGAAACGTTTCGGGCAATGCATGCAGATCAGCGGCAGTGATTCCCTATCGGCTGCAGCAAGACGTTTTCCACGGTTGCAGTTATGGCGGTTAAAACCAGCCCGGGACTTGAAGCAGCGATTGCAGCGTTGACAATGCTGGAAGCAGCAACTAGCGAGAGACGCCGTCAATGCCGTATCTGCATGTTCAGGGAGTGCAGGCTGGCAGCGATGAACTGCAAGCCCACCCTTACTACGGAACCATCGGCAGCAACTGACGCACTGTGCTGAACCACGCTGTTGGTGGACGGGAAGTTGGCGCTCAGCCAAACACTTGTGCCGTGCCTTGTCTTGAGGACGAGAGAAAGCCCGGTTGCAAGATGAGCAGAGTACGGATTTCTCTACTGCCCGAGGAGGCTGAAAAACCAGAACCTGCTCTCGCCAAGCTGACCGGTCTTGTGCGCAATCAAACCAGTTTGGAATGGACTTCGTGTCAGTAGCCACAACGTCTCTCCACCTCGCACACACACACACACACACACACACACACACACACACACACACACACACACACACACACACACACACACACACACACACACACACACACATGCTCCCACAAGCACAATCGAACCAAAGCCAAAGGGAAAGGCAGAGGCAGCTAGCTGTCTTTTTGAGTGAGTGGACATTTTTTTCTCAAAATGGCCACGGGAGACCAAAACCGAGCTGTGGTCTCTGCTGCATTTACATTCAAACTTGAAGATGACTGGCCAAGCCAGCACCTGTTCCATATAGAGAACCTGAAGAGAGTAGCGGAATTGTTGTCGCTGATATCCAGACCGACAACATTGGCGCCTAACGGTTTAATCTATATTTCCCACGACCCCGAGATCCCCGCTTGCACAGTCGTCGTGGATTCTGCTCAGTAACTGTTTCAAACCAAGCGGTTCGTGATCATGTGCTGTCCAAAGGTATCTCAGTTGCCGGTAAGCCCCTACAAGTAACAATCAATGGAACTGAGGTTGTCAGTGTGCATGTAGCAAGAAGGACCCATGAGTGTGTGTGATCCCCGGTGGCCTAATCGGTAGGGCACTGTCCCGGAAAGACAGGGGTGCTGGGTTCGAATCCCGCTCGTGGATCCTTCTTTTGCAACATGCATGTATTCGGCTGTCCCCGTTCCCTTTCCGATATTGCTGCTGTGGCTTCATTCAAGCAATTCGGTTTGGTGATGGAAGTAACTCAGCGAGGTAAATTTGCTTTTGAGAATTTAAGAAATTGGTATGCATCTTCAACACTTCTGCGATCACCTTTGCATTTCGAATCACGTCACCGACGCTACGTGTGTAGAACATAGTAGGTCAAGGACCACAATAGACCTCCTCTAAGCTGAAGACGGCGCTGTAGAATCCCACCGTGTTCTCCCACATAGCCTCAGCGATCATCTCCCAATCATGGCTACCGTTGCCTTTAACCCTTTGTGGACGGACTGTACGAGTTTTGATCTAATAAGATCAAAACTTGAAACGTGAATTTTTCTGGGGAAAGACAAAATCCATATCTTTCCAATGGTGCTAAATTCGTCGGGGGTCCCTAGTATAAATGTTGACCAAATCGGCCGCGCAAGAAAAAAAATTGAGAGCTTGCGCGAGCATGCAGAACTAAAATTGCAGTACGAGTACTGTCATGGCACGACGCGGAAATGTCCTCCGCATGGATGCGGACGATGCCATCGGCATGATTCTGAACTGGAACTCTGACGAGGACAGTTCTGGCGACCCACTTGACGAGTTCGAAGTGGACAGTGATAGTGATGATGATATCCCAGAAATTCAAGAAAACAATTTATCTGATGGATTTGCTGATACTGCTAGTAGCGAGAGCGGTGGCGAGGATGATGATGGTGGAGCTTATCCTATCTACTTTCCGGAAATGTATGGTGTTGTATTGGCTAATGTACACCGATTTCGAGTTATTACTGATTGTCGCATGTCGCTTCTTTCCTGTACAAATTTGGCAGTCCTTAAAGGGTTAACCCGTCAACCACGCCAGTGATCAATTCAAGCCACAGCATCAGAAGGATACATCTTCATCTTCAACAACCTTGCCAGGACGTAGCAAACTCTCGGTTGGAAGCCAAGCCAGCTGATGGCTGGGATGATGGAAGGAGGACGTCTTACAACGTGTTGAAGACGGACACAGAAGTCTGCCTGAAGGAAGCAGAGGAAAGGTCTCAAAACGGCCGTCAACTCTAATCTAGAGAGCTGCTGGACGTGATCAAGGAATTGAACACGCGACAAGTCTTTCACCGGGGGTCCCTAGTCAAAATGTTGACCAAATCGGCCGCGCAAGAAAAAAATTGAGAGCTTGCGCGAGCATGCAGAACTAAAATTGCAGTACGAGCAATGTCATAGCACGACGCGGAAACGTCCTCCGCATGGATGCGGCCGATGCCATCGGCATGATTCTGAACTGGAACTCTGACGAGGACAGTTCTGGCGACCCACTTGACGAGTCTGATGACGACGAGTTCGAAGTGGACAGTGATAGTGATAATGATATCCCAGAAATTCAAGAAAACAATTTATCTGATGGATTTGCTGATACTGCTAGTAGCGAGAGCGGCGGCGAGGATGATGATGGTGGAGCTTATCCTATCTACTTTCCGAAAATGTATGGTGTTGTATTGGCTAATGTACACCGATTTCGAGTTATTACTGATTTTCGCATGTCGCTTCTTTCCTGTACAAATTTGGCATTCCATAAAGGGTTAACCCGTCAACCACACCAGTGATCAATTCAAGCCACAGCATCACAAGGATAATTCTTCATCTTCAGCAATCTTGCCAGGATGTAGCAAACTCTTGGCTGGAAGCCAAGCCAGCTGATGGCTGGGATGATGGAAGGAGGACGTGTTACAACGTGTTGAAGACGGACACAGAAGTCTGCCTGAAGGAAGTAGAGGAAAGGTCTCAAAAGGGCCGTCAACTCTAATCTAGAGAGCTGCTGGACGTGATCAAGGAATTGAACACGCGACAAGTCTTTCACACCGATAACTCGCTGAAGAAATTCCTCACGAATGCGGTGCAGCTGGCAGTCGTCCCGACACGCATTACAAGTAGCATAGTGTGCGTCGGCACAGTTGACATTGATGAGGACGGTGGCCAGACAAGATGCCAGAAGTTGGAATCGCCTATGATGTCATAAATATCCAACCGGAACTTCACAACATGGAAATATAAAATCACGCAACCACATCACTACAGTTGCCTTTTTTTATTTCCGCTCTACACGAAGTGATTAGAAAATCTGAGCTCTTCTTCTCGCGATTAGAGATGGATGAAAACTCAATCCGGCAAGCTGTTTCATCAGCCGTTATGGATCTCCTTGCTCCGATCAATGATCGTCTAAGACACAATCGAGTCCAGAAAGAGGAAAGCGTCGGACAACACTGATGATTGGGTCGCCCCGTTCGTGAGGATTCAGGCTTCCGAATCGTCACAAGTCTAGGAAGTGTCGAGGAAGAGATCTTGGGCTACACCTTCACAACGAAAAACGATTCAGCTGTATGGTGTCTGCCCAGTGCTGGAACGAGCGGAATGCAAGCTCCGACTCCTGACATTTCGAATCCGTTCTGGAATTGTCCGCGAGCTGTTGTCGTCACGTATTTGTCTAGCAAGGCCCACCGACAGGCATGGCCACTCAAGGTCAATTGGGACGCAACCTCAACTTTCCTTCCCATTCTACACAGTGCGTGTCTGTGCTGCCACCTTTATTTCTCACTTGCTCTGTAGTGCTCCTGCTCATTTTATTCTCATGTCGTATTTTTCTGTTTGGCGCATGAGCAGTGTTGATACGGAGACCCTTGGTCGGTTTAGCTGCTCTTGCCCCGCCTCCACTGCTTCAGCGGCCACCGTTATGTGCATCTCTGTGCGTTTTTTTTGCCGGAGTTTCCACCACGATGGTTTGTGGCCATGTTGAAAAAAAATAAAATAAAAAACCTTGCCCTCCCGGTGCTTCAATGTGCTTGTGGTTCATGCCCTACCCGACTGCATGAAGTTGATCGTATCTGTACACAAGTCGCTCCGTGTATTTTTTTACTACGGCAAAGTGTGATGGTTTCAGCAGCCTGCCAAGGAAGAAGCATGCTTTGATGATCTGACTCGTATTGCATTCAGAGATTAAAAAATCTCGTATTTATACCCGTACCCCTGCATCCACTCCTTGCGATTCCCGTTCTTAAAATTTAATTTTATTCTTCTTTACAATACCGAATACCGGTTGTGATCGCTTTCAAGTTATTGGGCAGAACTGCCCGTTTGCCATGCAATGTGAAATAAATAAACAACAACAACAACAGCAATACTTTCTCCGCGACTCACAGTGTCTTCGGAGCTGAACGACACGACCTGGTGGAGCTTTAGCTCACGCATTCTTGACAACTTGCACGAACTAGCTACTCGTGATCTGACACAACACTGGTTGTGGGGGAGTTAAATAAAAATAATACGTCGGAATGGTAAGAACTATTCGGGCGAAAATCACACCGGCGCAGATATATCTACACGTAACAGGTACTCCGGCCACTACAGAAACAGCACGACTTGCTGGAATTCTTTCCCAAGAGGAGAGAAGTCCTTGCGCAGCAAGCTGTCTCGTGCCTGGCACGAGATTTTACTGAGAAAATGTGAAGCGCAGACACGTTTGAACAGATACCAAACTGGTCTGGAAACTCAGCATTTCTGTTTTTCGTTTGCCTGTGTTGGTGGCTTTTGTACTTCGCGGCAGCACGCCATCTCGCGTTTCCATTGGATACGGTTCTGCGGAGTGCATGCATGCATGCAGTGATCGTGATCCCATCACGTGCAAACTCGTTCAAGTCGTAAGTTTTCAACCATGAAGGCTTTGAAGCTCAATGACGAAGAGTGATGGAAATAAACAAGAACAGAGCTGAAGTCAAGAAGCCAGTGTTTGTGAAGAAACTGAAATTTCTTTTGTTCGTGACCGTTTGGTTGTTGTGTCGTCCACACACGGCCCAGAGCCAACGATAGTTCCTTTAGTTCTGCTGCTCGCATCACTTTCTGGCACTGGCATTTTCTTCGTCAGTCACTATGCCAAGTACCGAACTAACAGCGGAGCATCTTCGCTCCCTAGTGCAGCGACCACGACAGGAGCAAGTCAGGGGCCGCACTCTGGCTAATGTCCTGCAGGATGCGACCACCGTGGACGACGTAGACTTGTTGAGAAGGTACATGATTGTACTACTGCAGTGTACGGGCTACAGTCCATTCAGAAAAAGATGATATCCTAGCGTTTGGCCATAAATGGGTCAAATTTTGACTTTTTGTCACACATGTTTTGGCAATCCCCCATGGAATGCTCTTCCAATTGTGTTTTGAAGTCTATTTTTCCAAAGAGCATGCAAGCCATAACAAGAATAGGATTTCGGCCAGGTTTTGCCCCCAAAGCACTGAATTGGGGAAAAGCCATGAAAATCCAGGCCGCTCACTCCACTTGCGTAACAGTACATTTGCGGTCCGAACCCCAGTTAAGGTACCTTTTTGGACCCTTTTTCAAGTTTCGAATCTCGCGGCGCTGCACAGTGTACCACAAAATCACGAAAAATCACCAAATACGGGAGCTCTCCAGAGCCAGCGGCTCATCTTTTTCTGAATGGACTACTGTAGAGTTCGTATGACGTCCGGGCACTGGAGTGGAGAGGCTTGGTCACTACCAATAAAAAAAATTAAACAACAAGGCGATGAAAGTGATCTTTTACATACGCGTAGAGTGGTTTTAACATGGCACATCTATCAAATGCCCATACACCAGTCATGTTGGTTTCAACTCCACTCAGCCCCTGCACCTGTGGGTCAGATGATGGCTGCCATTTAGGTTCCGCTGTCCACTGGCACTGTGTGCACAAATGTGGTCACATGACACAAATGTGGTCACATGACACAGATGTGAAAATATTCTACAGTGCTGCTCAATGAAATCCAGTAGTGTCACTCAAGTTAGTTCGTGCCTTGCATCATTTCGCACGTACAACTGCGACACTACACCACGTGATGTGAGTTTTCGCCATCGGCGAACCCCATAGAAAGGGGAGGGCGGGAGGGCCTAGTCCAATCACTACCGGTGGATGTGTCACTACTGTAAGACATGTTATTATAACGAGTCGCAAATTTAACGATTGTCCAAAATTCATAGGTTAACAAGAAGATATGTTAACGATCTTGCAGTTTTCTGCCATATCCACACACATGTACACAGCATATATGAAGCAGTACGGCCTCAACGGATCTATTATAACGAAGAAATGTCATCCGTTAAAACGTTAGATTTGCTTCCTCGTTATATATACATGTCTTACAGTATGCTGCGAAGGAAAACCAATACAAAAACTGGACCCGAGTGGATCCTAATGTCGTTATTTGTCGTTAAATTTTGACTTAGGACGTCGTCAATTTCAAGCCCGGTGATGTTCTAATCAGTACTGATGACCTTCAACAGCCTGTTCTTCGGCTCCCGCTGGTACTGTGTGTGAATATCTGTCCATTTTGGTGCGTGTCTTCCGACCGTTTACACGTGTGTGTGTGTGTGTGTGTGTGTGTGTGTGTGTGTGTGTGTGTGTATGTGTGCGTGCGTGCGTGTGTGTGGTGTGTTTGCAGAATACAGTTGATGTGTGTCAGTGTATCTGAAGACGAGAAGTTATCAGCGGAGAATGACATGCATGAAGATTCGCTTACGAGAAGGTAAATCGGATGCAACCGTGAAGCACTTATTCTGCAGTCGTACTATAACAACAAATAGGGATAATGTGCAGCCCACCCACACCCACACCCACCCACACCCACACCCACACATACACCCACACACGCACCCACACATACACCCACACATACACCCACACATGCATTCACCTGCATGATTGTACACGTGCTCGTACATGCCATACCTGCGCCATTGTCATCTTTTAGAAAATTCCATCGTTTCCTCCGGTCTCGACACTGGGCTTTGAGCCTTGAGGGTGTCTGCATTCCTGTGAGTGCGGGAACATCAGTATGACGGAATACCACGCCAACCTGCTAAGTTATGCGTTTGTTAGGTTTTCTCTCCCATACATGCACATACACACTCACACGCTAATGACCTCACGCACCGTGTTTCCCGCTGTTAAATATTTTTTTTGCAAATTAATTATTCATTTGAATTTGATACTGTTCATGGTGTGGTCATCACTAATGAGTGGGGGTATTTATCAAAGGTTCTTCTTTTTTCCCCTCGATAATCGAGCTATTTGACCTCGCACTCTCCCTGTACATGATCCCGCTTTCCCGTATGATCAGTTGGCCTGGGTAGCTACATTCGTGCTCGTCATCCATACATTGAAATAGCTACCCACGCCCCATATTTAGCCTCTTGCAACTGTTTTTGCTGCCTCTCTTGCCTTTGCAGTCGCAATCCAAGAACCTTGTAAGATCCCCGTGAGCTGTGTGCATCAAGACTCAACACTTTGTTTAACCTGGCTTTTTCCATGCCCGCTGTACTTTGCATCTTTGCAGGCTGGACCAGATGTCCACAGCAAGCAGTTCTTTGCCGTCATCGGCAACCTCCTCGTCCTCCATCGTGGAGCGTGGCAATCACGTACTCTCCTATCGGCAGGCAGCCGAGTACGACGGGCGCAATCTTCGCACGTTCTCCGTCCGACATCGTCGCATCAAGACTAGCACAGAACGGTAGGGAAGTGTACGTGCAGCCCATCCGAGCTACTGCTCGCTCGGATGGGT